TTAGCTACTGGAGAAGGCGACGGAGCACGTGTGGGAATGTCCCGATTGCATTAATTATTTTAACTAGCTTACAGTGTACGCTGAGCTAGAAGAGGACAAGGTGCGCTCGCTGCCGTAAGAATGTTTACTTGGAGGTATAAATGTTTACCAAATGTTTACCAAATGTTTACCTGTCGGTAAGAATGTTTCCCAAATGTTTACCTGTAGTAATGAGTGTCTATCAAATGGGTTCCTGTAGACAAGAGAGCATACCAAACTTTTACCTACATGCAAGAATGTTTACCAACTGTTTACCTATAGGGAAGAATGTTTACCTAATGTTTACCTGTATGTGACTTTATTTGCCCTGTACTTGAACAAGAAGCTCTCCATGCCGATCTCGTCATCTCCCTGGCAGAAAGAAACATGACCAACCCGTCAGCAAACATGTCACTAGAAAATGTGAACCTTCCTTCACGGGTGGGAGTGGACGTGGTGCAGCGGCTGAGCGCTCGCCTGCGGATCCCAGGGGCGTTTTGTTCAGGTCCTGACAGAGCCAGACTATTTAAAAAAAAAATGACCATGGCTCCTAGCTTGACTCAACCAGAAATATGTACCAGGTACGTCCCGGGAAGTAAAAGTGGCCGGCGTAATGTTGACCACATCCCCTCCCCTCCCCCATCGAGTGCCGATGGGTCTATAAAATATAGGTCTAGCCCTATATGCCCAATACGCCAGAAGGCGAAGAAAGGCTTCTTTGCCAGACGGCCGTGACGATGTCCAGCCCTGTCAGCGACGGAGGGCCGATCGTTCTGATCAAATATGGCTCCAGCACCATATGCCACATATTTTACTGGGTTTAGAGGAGTCATCGGTCTGAATAAATATGGCTCCAGCACCATATACCAGAAATATATTTCACTGGCTTTATAGGGGTCCTTTACTGTTTAGTTACCTACAACAGATAGCAGACTGGGGCCGCTATAGTGCAGTAGCCAAACGTTCGTTCGCGGACCTGAAAGTCGTGGTTCAAATCCGCAAGGGATTTTGAAAAACTGACATTGTTTCCCAAGTCGAAGGAGTCTAAAACAGGTATCATGAATTGTCTAGGGAAACAAAGGCAGCCAGCTTGATTTTGACCATACCACCCTCCGAGTAGTGATCCGTTAATAAAAATATGGGTCTAGAATCATATAGTTAATAAGCTACTTGTATGGGTTGAAAGTTATAATTATAACATACTTAAAACTTTATAAACTGGGCTCCTGATAGATAAAGGCTACAGTTAATATATCCTTGACTTTAAATATTGTCATTGAGCGAAACTGTATTAATACAGCACAAAAGTCTAAATAGTATCACTAAGATAAAAACTATTCAGAGAAAGACCATTAAGAGAAAGACCACTAAGAGAAAGACTCCTAAGATAAAGACCATAAGAGAAAGACTACAAAGAGAAAGACCGCTAAGAGAAAATCCACTACGATAAAGACTACTGAGAGAAAGACCACTAAGAAAAAGACTATTAAAAAAGGAAAGCTAAGATAAAACAGTTAAGAAAAAGAGAACTTTGAGAAAGACCACTAAGATAAAAACTATTTAGAGAAAGACCACTAAGAGAAAGACCATTCAGAGAAAGACCACTAAGAGAAAGACCACTAAGAGAAAGACCACTTTGAGAAATACCTCTAAGATAAAAACACATAAGAGAATGACCACTGAGAGAAACATAACTAAGAAAAAGACCACCAAGAGAAAAACCACTAAGAGAAAGACCATTTGATCTCCAGATAAGTCTTTTCAGAGAACAAATGATCAACCTTACCTCTTCTATAGCCGTGTTGAGGTCCAGCTGGCCAAAGTATTTGACAAGCTTCATTCTCTCGTTGGGTTTCAACCTGGTTACAAGTGCCAGTGGATCGTCTCTGTGAGACAGACATCAGAGGTAGATGAGACAGACATCAGAATTAGGTGAGAAAGACATCAAGGATAGTTGAGACAGACATCAGAGGTAGGTGACACAGACAGAGGTAGGAGAGACAGACATCAGGGTTAGGTGAGACAGACATCAGAGGTAGGTAAGACATACATCAGGGATAGGTGAGACAGACATCAGAGGTAGGTGAGACAGACATCAGAGGTAGGCGAGACAGACATAAGAGGTAGGTGAGACATACATCAGAGGTAGGCGAGACAGAGGTAGGTGTGACAGGCATTAGAGGTAGGAAACACTGACAACGCTAGTACAATCTTGTATGTCCGTCTATTTATTTATCTGTGTCTTTTGCCAAGGCGTTGCCAACGCGCTTGGTAAAACTGAGGTGCCGAGTTCAATTCCAGCTGCCGGAGGATTGGGCAGCAGTTCATCCTGCGCTGGTTTCGACAGTGATATCAGGAACCGACCCATTAGAGGCATGGCAAGTCACTGAACGTAACATTCTCTGGTAAAATCCCATACCATGGTTCTGCAACATTCATGTACAATAAGTTGCCTGTAATGACTAGCTCAAGTACTGTCTGGCCTAATCTTCAGCCCTCTACCTGTGAGCCCAGGGCGCTATTACCTAGGCATTCAAGTCCCGTAAGCCTCTCTAACATTTGTATGGGGTGGCAAAAAATTTTGGTGGGGGGCGGGGCCACGTTCAACATGTTTGTCTAGATTTCTTCTTTTTACTTAGACATAACACACCATGTGTTACGTTGACAGACAGACAGACAGACAGACAGACAGATAGCTAGCTAGCTGGATGGATGGATGGATGGATGGATAAATGGATGGATGGATGGATGGATGGATGGATGGATGGATGGATGGATGGATGGATGGATGGATAGATAGATAGATAGAGAGAGAGAGAGAGAGATAGATAGATAGATAGATAGATAGATAGATAGATAGATAGATAGATAGATAGATAGATAGATAGATAGATAGATAGATAGATAGATAGATAGATAGATAGATAGATAGATAGATAGATAGATAGATAGATAGATAGATAGATAGATAGATAGATAGATAGATAGATAGATAGATAGATAGATAGATAGATAGATAGATAGATAGATAGATAGATAGATAGATAGATAGATAGATAGATAGATAGATAGATAGATAGATAGATAGATAGATAGATAGATAGATAGATAGATAGATAGATAGATAGATAGACAGATAGATAGACATATAGATAGAAAGAAAGATAAAGAGGGTGCTCAGATGGATCGGTTGAGAGATAGATGAATGAGTGGATTAACGGATGGATTAACGGGTGGATTAACGGATGGATTAACGGACTGATGGACTAGAAGGGTGGAGTAACTGTATTATAGTGGTAATATGCCTGACCCCCTCCCCCCTCTTTCCCCCTCATTTTGCTTCCCTTTAGATTTCCAACAATGACACAATGACGAAGAAACGACAACAAGATTCAAACGTTGGATGTGAACTCTTGACCTACTTCAGCTTAGTAATAATCTTCTCGCACTTGACACAATGACGAAGAAACGACAACAAGATTGAAACGTCGGATATGAACTTTTGACCTACTTCAGCTTTGTAATAATCTTCTCGCAACTGACACAATGACGAAGAAACAACAAGATTGAAACGTCGGATATGAACTCTTGACCTACTTCAGCTTTGTAATAATCTCCTCGCACTTGTACGACTGCTTGCTGTACGTCATGGCACTTCCGTATCGAATATCAATGTTCTTCTCCAGAAACAGCAGATCGATCAGAGGCATTGTCGTGGCCTCCACTGTTTGGTAGGGCTGGCAGAGGGACCAAGTGCAAAAACATGAGACCTAAATCTGAGTAAAAGGCGCCTGTGTATCTCCTTCGGTCCCATACGAGGCAACATGTATGCCAATCTTATGTCTATACGCATCTACTTAACACATGGTGCGTTCAAAGCAATGTTTTCCAGTTTTGAATTTGAACAAAGAAGACACAAACAATAGATTGCACAATTCATTGCCTGGTATATTTCACCATATCTTGCCAGGTGCATACTACAGTACCAATTGATTAAAATGAAGCAAACAAAAGCGACTACATTTAAAAACTAATTATTGAGATTTGTGAAAGTGACAGATATAAATCGGCTTAGTCCAGAATTATGCAGACAACAAGACATGCTCTTCACCTTGCGTTTACCATTGCGAAACCGACAGTTTCTGGAATATAGCTGACTTTGTTTTTCAGTTTTAAGGAGACTTTGTTTTTCAGTTTTAAGGATTCATTTATTTGCTTCATTTGAATCAACTGTGACTGTAGTATGCACCTGGCGAGCTACAGTGAAATATGCCAGGCAATAAAATGTGCAATCTAGTACAAGGTGTCTTATTGCTTATTACATGTTTAGTCTGAGTATGCAATAGAAATCTGGACACATATTTCAAGTGCAGCACCGTGTATGCAGTATCCCAGAAAGTCATAGGCTGGTGGCCTTTTCATTGTGATTATTGTACCAAACTGGGTTTCTATTTTGAAACTAACTGGGACTGAAAGAGATATTCGTTATCAAAGGCATGTCGGTTTGGGTAGCCAATTCTCTTTCTCGCTCTTGCTATCCTGAAGAAGTTTTTGTTTTAATTTACTGGAAAGTGCGACGATACTGAATAGGGTAGTTTGACCCATGAGCCGTCCTCTTTGAAATAATGGAATCCGAACACTTCTTGGAGATTGAACTAGGCCCAATATCTTGGGCAGTAACCACACCAACTGTCTGTCTAGTGAGTTTATGCCACCTTAAATTAGTTAGTAATATTCAAATTATCATCATCGTCAATAACTATATGGGGTGTGTGTTACATTTATGCAGACATGCGTGTCTATCCCACACTCATTTTACATATTCTATTTTATGAACATGACATGCTTTGTTCATTAAAAATATACAATGGAAGTGTCGCATGACAGCCCACACCCCTCTAGTCATGGACCTGGCCATTTCTTGTCACCTCTATGCAAATTAGGCACTTTCAAATCTTGGAATTTCCTCTATAGGTATATAGTCTTTATAGAGTGCCTTTGAGTTCATTAGGGAAAACACTAACAAAATCACGAGACACTAGCATTATGTGACAGGAAGTTAGTTGGGTTATCACCATTGCACTCCTGACATGTCCATAGGTGCTGTGATTCTCCCCTCTGTATGAACCCCAACGTCCGATGGCTAATAGTAACAGTTTTATGTTGATTAACACGTCTTCTGGCGTGTCTGGTGTGCGTCTCGTTTTTTGCTATGCCGATCTTAATTCCCAAGTCTGCCATTCTGGCAAGTGATGTGGATTCACTGCCCCCAAAGTCCTCTATCCTTCCCATTTCTCTGAGGGCTTTAATTATATCAGCATGATCCATAGGCTGACCGTCGGTAGTGATAGCGGATCCAGCTAATCATTCAGCTCTTTCATTTCCATCGACGCCTGCGTGTCCAGGAACAAAAATAAAGGTGACTCCACGCACAGTGTTGTGAAAGATGAGGGCTTGAAACGGCTGAATGTAAGACTGACCTGCACGCTTATTTCATGGACCAATTTAGTATCTCTGAACTTCTTCACAAGGAAATAGTTATGGCTTTTAAGGCTAAAAACATGGATACTTAAGCGACTAAAGTTGCAACTGATTTGTACTAAAAGGATTCATTTTTTTTTTAAAGATTCTGTCCACGACTCACATCCGTCGTACATTGCTACAAGAATATATTACTATTACAAGAACCATCTCCCACGCCTTATGGTATATTGGGTATAGAGTGTGCTAGATCTATATTTTATAGATCAATCACCACTTGGCCACCGCCGACCGCCTTTACTTTCCAGGACCGTACCTAGTACCCATTCAAGACCAGGTTGACCTGGGGGCCAAAGTTATTTATTTAAAGAAGTCCGACTTCTTTCGGATTTGAATCCACGACCTCTGGATCCACAGGCAAGCTCCTAGCCTCTACACCGCTATGGCTCCAAATATGTTACTATGTAAGTAAAGTTCCCTTTTCACGCCTTTCGGCGCATCAGGCATATGGGCAGAGCGTCCCATATTTTTACAGACCATCAGCACTCTGTGGGTAATGTGGTCAGACTCACCCCAAAATCGACTCTATGTATGGCTGTGGTTGTCCACTTGTAGAGTTCTTTCAGAAATGTCGTGATGTCACTCATCAGAAACGGGTTGTGACGCAACTGCAGCCAGATCAGAGAAACAAATGTGACAGGTTATGAACTCATAGAACATTTAGGGCTCTTAAACGATCAACGATCTGACTAATCTTCACAGAGCAGTGTACTCACACCCTGACAACCTACAATATTGGTTGAAGGTCACTCACACGTGTGAATGGGGAAATACTAGGGGGAGACTACCATGCGACACGAGGGGGAGACTACCACGCTTTTTTTCTCTCTCTCTCTCTGCTCAGAAACTCCATAAGAAGATTGATTGATTGATCGATCCGTTTGGTTGATTGTCTGCTTTCTTCGAAGTCTGAAGAACTGATTGATAGGTTGACTGGATCGTTCGCTCGTTTTCTGGCTGGTTGTTTGTTTGGATAAATTGATCTGCTTGACTGGTTGCTTGGCTATGGATTCAGTCAACCCCAGCTGCCAAATTTTCTATGAGATGTGGATTGGAGGCTGCTGGTCACCGGCTCTATGCGAGTCAACAAAAATCATTCAGTGGTAAACAGTGTGCAGCTCTGCTTAGGACATGCAATGCGTGTTCATCCATAATCATCTTCACTATCATCAGCAGCAGCAGCAGCAGCATCGTCATCATGATGGTTAAAGGAAATTCCTGTGCCACGTATACAAACAGCCAGCAAGCCAATCAACCAGTTAGCCAGTTAATCAACCAGTCAGCCAATAAACCAGTCAGTCTACCAACCAGTCAGTCAGTTAACCAGCCCGTTAGAAGGCCAACCAGTCAGCTAGTCAACCAGTCAGCCATCCAGCCAGTCAGTAAGCCAACCAGTCAGTTAGTCAGCCAATCGGTCAGTGAACCAATAAGCCAACTAGCCAGTCAGTCAGCCAACGAACCAGTCAGTCAGCCAGTAAGCCAACTAACCAGTCAGTAAGTAAGCCAACCAGCCAGTAAGTCAACCAGCCAGTAAGTCAGCTAGTCAGTCGCCCAGTGAGTAAGCCAACCAGCCAGTCAGTCAGCCAGTAAGCAACCAGCCAGTCAGTCAGCCAGTAAGCCAACCAGCCAGTCAGTCAGCCAGTAAGCCAAACAGCAAATCAGTCAGCCAGTAAGCCAAACAGCCAGTCAGTCAGCCAGTAAGCCAAACAGCCAGTCTGTCAGCCAGTAAGTCAACCAGCCAGTCTGTAAGCCAGTAAGCTAACCAGCCAGTAAGTCAAACAGCCGGTGAGTCAGCCAGTAAGTCAAACAGCCAGTGAGTCAGCCAATAAGTCAAACAGCCAGTAAGTCAAACAGCCAGTAAGTCAAACAGCCAGTCATTCAGCCAGTAAGCCAACCAACTAGCCAGTCAGCCAATAAGCCAACCAGTCAGCCAACTAAGTGTCTACTGACTACTTACCTCAAGACGTCGGAGTGTGGTGTTTTTCTTCAGCGCTGGGAAGAACAGCTCCAGGTCAGATCCACTGATTCTGTGTTTGAGGCACACACAATTTTAGTATCACCATCATCCTCACAACCACTGTCTCACCACCACCACCACCATCATCCTCACAATCACTGTCACACCACCACCACCACTATCAGCATTTCACCCACAATTCCATTCAATAATCTCGTCAACATCCTACCCCCAACACAACACTGGTTTTTTTCGGGTTGTGTGCCGTATTCGCTACATCACAAATGAACTCCAACATTTACTACCACTTGCATGGTCTTTGCCGGCAATTTTCAACAGTTTGTCACTGTTCCCTTGACGACACGGCGCTAATAAATGAGTAAAAAATAACCAATTCGATCTGCTGTCAAATCGCCGGCAGCTGATTCCGAAATTCAGAATCATGAATCCATGTGTAAGTTCTTTGGTATTCAAGTTCTTTTTGGGGGTTGGGGGGGGGGGGAGGGGGAATTGACTTACTGCAGACCCTCCCCCCCCCCCCCCGAGTTCCGGTTAAAATGGACGCTAGACAGCGGCGCTGTTCGAAGCAGAGGCAAATTTTTTTGCTTCTGCCGGACGGTGGCCGAAGTATTTTTGCTCCATTTGTAGACTGGATATAGTTTTGTCGCCCAGCTTCTGAGTTGAATGCATGGCGTGACCCTGTGAGCTGCGGATTGCATTTGGAATGTATTTTCGACTGTGACCAACGTGGTGGTGTGAATTGTAGATTCAGAAAATGGCGCGATGCCTGCCGGGCAATGTTGGCGGTGCCTGTTTGTGGTTAAAATTGATCGCGTGGACAACTGCTGAACTGTTGGCGACAAGTTCTGCTATCATCATTGATGAACTGCATTTCTAATGTTGGACTGTTTGTGTTAGCACTTCGGATGGCTACCGTATGCTTTAATGCGAGTGTATGCTAGATATGCTGAGACAGCAGTCTGTCAATCTTTCCACAAGGGACTGGGATAAACATTCTGGGTGTTTTTCGTTGGCACAGGAGCGGAGCAAAGATGGGGCGACCCGTTGCAATGAAGCTGAAACTAAGACTACCAGACCAGACTACCTCCCCCCAATCTTTTCTAACAAACATGATGAAACTGGCTACTAATTAGGGGTGTTTCCTTCGAAGTCGGAGCGCATTCTGCATGAGAGGCGAAGCACCAACAGTCTGCATACAAAAAAAGCGAAATTTGTAAAAGGATATGTACTTGAAACTTAGGTTATTAAATACAGTCCTTTTGAACAACCATAACTTTCTATTAGAGTTTACCGCTGGTTAAAAATGACAACAAATGAATAAGAAAGAATATAACTTTTTATTAGAGTTTACCGCTGGTTAAAAATGACAACAAATGAATAAGAAAGAATATAACTTTTTATTAGAGTTTACTGATGGTTAAATTGACAACAAAGGAATAAGAAAGGATATAACTTTCTATTAGAGTTTACTGAAGGTTAAGCTGACAAAAAATGAATAAGAAAGGATATAACTTTCTATTAGAGTTTACCAATGTTTAAGCTGACAACAAGTGAATGAGAAAGGATATAACTTTCTATTAGAGTTTACCAATGTTTAAGCTGACAAGTGAATGAGAAAGGACGTAACTTTCTATTAGAGTTTACTAATGTTTAAGCTGACAACAAGTGAATGAGAAAGGATATAACTTTCTATTAGAGTTTACCAATGTTTAAGCTGACAACAAATGAATGAGAAAGGATATAACTTTCTATTAGAGTTTACCAGTGTTTAAGCTGACAACAAATGAATGAGAAAGGATATAACTTTCTATTAGAGTTTACCAATGTTTAAGCTGACAACAAGTGAATTAGAAAGGTTTATGACACTGCTCTCACAACCCTTTAGCCACACAATCGGGGATCTTTGTAGCTATGTGGTGAAGCCTTTTGCCTCGCGCTCGTAAAACGTGATTTCAATTCACGGATCACGTCGTTCACATCTGGATAACACAGTCTAGTGGTAAACCACAACACATCGTGCCAATCGCTGGTTTAAAAACAAATGCAGCAGCTGCAGCAGCAGCAAAAGAAGAAGAAGAAGAAGAAGTTAATTTTGCCATACCTGTTACCATTTAAATTGAAATAAATTAATGATGTATTCTTCTTTAGCATGGTGACCACCGCTTTAACTCCTTCGTTGCCGAGTCCATTCCAAGAAAAATTCAGCTTTTGAACGTTAGTGTTTTTCTAAGACGAAAGACATTTAATATAAAGGTAGATGAAGAGTTAACCTAACCTAGGCCATAAAATCATCAATGTAATGCTGGGAATTAGAATCTGTACTTTATTACCTCATTCAAAACCAGTGATGAGGGCGCTTATGCAATATTTTACTTTTTATTACAAATTCGCAACTCGGTTTACATCGAAAAGGACGCTTGCTGCATGCTTACACCACTCCTGCATAAACTATAAGGCATGAAAGCTACCAATTACTGGTACTATGAGGCTAGATGTGCGCGCATGCTTGCACCAGCAGTAAAAAAAAAAAAAAAACCACGAGGATGAAATATCACGTGATACCCGCTCCACTCTAATTTCTAGATGCTATCGCTTACATCCCTACCACCTTCCTCATGCGCAAATTAATTTTCCATTGCCACGCAGGTCGATTACTTTCATGTGTACATCGTTTTTCACTCGGCGGGAAATTCCCCATCATGTTTGCGGTTGGTTCCCCCATTGAACTCTTGATACACGTACTGTAAACATTTGTGTTTACAGACGCCGTTTAGGGAATACAGAACAAAGTTCGGATGTTTACGTGGCCATGATGCCAACATGTTGCTAAATATGTGATCAGCATAGAAATAATGTTGCCACATTAGCTCTGAGTGCATTTCTCATGTTATTTTCAGAACCAGAAGGGTTCCCATAGGTTTTCTGTTAGCGCAATTATTATCACTCGTCATTTTCAAAGGCTAACTTACGTAACATTTAATATCTGTGAAATGAGATGCCCGAGAAAAGCCGTCAACTTAACCATCCGTGACAAAGTAAGAAATGAAATTATTAGAAAGACTGTGGGAACAACACCATGTAGAGAGATCACTGAGAGATGGAAAATCAAATGGTTTGGTCATCTAGAAAGAATACAGCCAGTAGTAGTGATACACAGCCAGAGCAACTAACAACGCAGGTGCTACACATGAACAGATCAGAAGTGAAAGCAGAGGTCGCTCTAGAGGAAAATGGATTGACGACATAAAAAAGCTTCTACATTGACACGGAATGACAGTAGCCATTGCTGATCATTAGGCAATGGATAACAAGCTGTTCACCCCCCCCCCCCCCCAAGCCGCCTAACAGAAGTGGACACTGATGATGATTGTGGGGGAAAACTAGAATAGACCCACTGCCAGCCCCAAAACCTGTTGTTAATCGATGTCTTCGCATTACCCAGTATCTGGAAGAGGGCTAGAGTCCAGAAGTGGACGAACAACCATCACTTTCCGTCAAAGTTTACAACCGGTGAACGCGAAAAAGAAGAAGATGAAGCCTGTCAGGTTTTCCCCTCTCTGGTAGTATTCAATGGTACGCATTACCGGCACTTCTTTAAAGCCTCATTTCTTTTAGCGTTGCGAAGGAGCTTCGTGGTGCTGAAGGCCCGCCCTTAATAATTTAAAAAAAGAAGGGGGGGGGGGGGGGCGCAGGGGCCTTAAGGCCGCATGTTATGGCCCCTTTGCTACGTGCACACACAAAATTATATGAGGGAATCAAGTACACACACGAACACAGTGTGATTCGTTATTGTAATTCTATCAAAAACATTGGGAATCCTGGAATTCCCGGAAAAGTCCAATATGATAGGGGTGTTAGGGTTAGTCAGTGTTTATTCCAGACCGTAAAACCCCTGTAATATTGGACTTTCCGTAGAACTCTAGGATTTTCCGTGTTAGGGGAGAACTCATGGTGCACGTGCAGAAACAGTGAAAGGTACCATCACTTACCGAGAAACCCTTGAAGAATTTCTCAGCCCCGACGCACCTGATTCGGTTAGCGCTGATGTCAAGTTCAAGGATAGAGTTGTTTTCCACTGTCGATTAGAATATAAATAAACAGCAACAGCAGTAGAGGTAGCAATAACAGACTGACTGGCTCTTCCTCAATAGCAGACGATCGACCTTTAGATTTTGTGGAGAGAAAAAGAGAAGGAAGAGAGAGACAGAGAGAGACAGCCAGAGACGGAGATAGAGAGAGAAAGAGAGAGAGAGAGAGAGAGAGAGAGAGAGAGAGAGAGAGAGAGAGACAGACAGACAGAGAGGAGATATGAGTATTTCGAGGTTAGTGTGGCCTAAATCACATCAAACATAGTGACAATTTATAAACATCAGCATAGCAAGGCATGAGCGGCACACCAGAGGTACGAGAAGTCATACCGCCCAGCACAGGACTGGAACTATTACCCGCGAGACACTTACGTATAGGTTTTTTTTTGGGGAGGGGGGGGGGGAGGGGGAGTCTGATCGCTTTTTGGCACGTCCAGAGTGGCATGAAGAATAACCCACTTTCGTTTTAGCGTTCACCGTCTGTAAACTCCAGAGGAAAGTTCTGGTTGTTGGTCCACTTCTTCCAGAGCTTGAGTTTCTGGCTTATTTATATGCAGACTGTTGGTTCCTTACGTCTCAGGCAGATGCTTCCCGTGTGAATTCCAGGGCCATATTATAGAGAAAATGTGCACAGACTCAGTCAGCGCTGGATTCGATCCCAGCTGCGACATTGCGCCTTGCGTTGGTTTCGACAGTGATATCGTCCAGGTGCAATGGCAAACTACTGGACGATAATTTGCCTAGAAAAACCACCATGGCAAAAAAAAAAAAAAAAAAAAAAAAAAAAAATACTTTGGTTGGTTGGTTCTGCAAAGTCATGTGAAGGATAGGCAACTAACCTTTAACATTTTAAACAACAGGTTTGTTAGGGAGCAATGGATCTACCCCCCCCCCCCCCCACCCTTCTTCCCGGCTCCCAAGAATAGAGCCCCAGAACCTACAGGGGGATAATTAACCAAGTAATTACTCATAATCTGTGAAGGACGAACAACAAACAAGAAACACACGAGTCACCCACTGATCTACTTACTCATCATCTTGCCGAAGATGTCTCCTGACTTCTCCGTGAAGTTATTCCTGCTCATGTGTAGGTACAGCAGGATCTCACTCACCTGAAGACCCACAACCAAAATGTGCTCTTTAACAACTCAGCTAAGGGCAACACTAGTCGAGGGCAACACTAGTCAAGGGCAACACTAGTCGAGGGCAACACTAGTCGAGGGCACCACTAGTCGAGGGCTACACAAGTCGGAGCATTGGGACATCTCTACATGGTGTGGTCTAATGGCGTCTGTGACCTAGGAGTTAGAGCGCATTTTCATAATTCCGACGCTTTGCGATCCATTCAAATGCAGGCGAATTTGGGCATACGGCAGCTGTCAGACGTGCCAACACAGACAATCCGCCACTACAGCCTCAGGTCACCATCAACTAAAGCAACAGTTGCAATAAAAAAGTGCTCCAACCTATTGGTGTACTAGCCTGTCTACCATAAACATTGAAGAAGAAGAAGAAGAAGAAGAAGAAGAAGAAGAAGAAGAAGAAGAAGAAGAAGAAGAAGAAGAAGAAGAAGAAGAAGAAGAAGAAGAAGAAAGAAGAAGAAGAAGAGAAGAAAAGAAGAAGAAGAAGAAGAAAGAAGAAGAAGAAGAAAAGAAAAAGAAGAAGAAGAGAGAAGAAAAGAAGAAGAAAGAAGAAGAAGAAGAAGAAGAAGAAGAAGAAGAAGAAGAGAGAATAAGAAGAAGAAGACGAAAAAAGGAAAAAAAAAGAAGAACAAAAACAAGAAGGGAGGGGGGGGGGAGAAAAAGAAAAAGAAAGAAGAAGAAGAAGAAAGAAAAGAAGAAGAAAAGAAGAAGAGAAGAAGAAGAAGAAGAAGAAGAAGAAGAAGAAGAAGAAGAAGAAGAAGAAGAAGAAGAAGAAAGAAGAAGAAGAAGAAGAAGAAGAAGAAGAAGAAGAAGAAGAAGAAGAAAGAAAAAGAAAAGAAAAAAGAAGAAGAAGAAGAAGAAGAAGAAGAAGAAGAAGAAGAAGAAGAAGAAGAAGAAGAAGAAGAAGAAGAAGAAGAAGAAGAAGAAGAAGAAGAAGAAGAAGAAGAAGAAGAAGAAGAAGAAGAAGAAGAAGAAGAAGGAGGAGGAGGAGGAGGAGGAGAAGAAGAAGCAGAACAAAATGAAGAAAAAGAATCTGCTAAGAGGCCACCGACCTTGACGTATTCGGCCAACATGGGGGCGTCCTTGTCCCTCAGGTCGTTACCTGTAGCGAGTAGCAGGTGGGTTGCCTTGGCTTAGGGAAATAACTGGTATGATGATGATGAAAACGTCGACGCTGATGATGAGTGCCATTATAGATGGTGTCCAATACAACATAATACATACATACATACATACATACATACATACATACATACATACATACATACATACATACATACATACATACATACATACATACATACATACATACATACATACCTACCTACCTACCTACATACATACATACATACATACATACATACATACATACATACATACATACATACATACATACATACATACATACATACATACATACATACATACATACATACATACATACATACATACATACATACATACATACATACATACATACATAAATACATACATACAGACATACATACATACAGACATACATACATACATACAGACAGACAGACAGACAGACAGACAGACAGACAGACAGACAGACAGACAGACAGACAGACAGACAGACAGACAGACAGACAGACAGACAGACAGACAGACAGACGGTAGGAACGGACAGACAGACAGACAGACAGACAGACAGACAGACAGACAGACAGACAGACAGACAGACAGACAGACAGACAGACAGACAGACAGACAGACAGACAGACAGACAGACAGACAGACAGACAGACAGACAGACAGACAGACAGACAGACAGACAGACAGACGGTAGGAACGGACAGACAGACAGACAGACAGGACAGACAGACAGACAGACAGACAGACAGACAGAAGACAGACAGACAGACAGACAGACAGACAGACAGACAGACAGACAGACAGACAGACAGACAGACAGACAGACAGACAGACAGACAGACAGACAGACAGACAGACAGACAGACAGACAGACAGACAGACAGACAGACAGACATAGACAAACCAATCAGCATACTAGCATAAACACAATCACAACGTTAATAAGACCAGTCGTTTTATTTGGCTCTGAAACTCGGAGCACAAGTAAAAGTGATGAAGCCTTTTTACACATTTTCGAAAACCGTTTCGTACGACGAATCTTTGAACCCATCAGAGATGCAAACTGCAGGGAATGAAGAGTGAGAAGCAGTAAGGAAATTCATAATCTGTTTAAATCACCTTTTGTCACTGGCACCATGAGAGCTAATAGACTGAAATGGTTGGGGCATATTGAGAGAATGTCAGATGACAGAAGTGAAAACTGTTTACACAAGGGAGCTGAATGGTCGTAGACCACGAGGCAGACCAAGAAGACAATGGAGAGATAATATTCACACAGACCTGCAACTACTTGACACCAACTGAAAAAAAGAAGGCCAACCAGAGAGATGAGTGGAGGAGGATGATAGGTAGGTAGGTAGTTGTACCCCACCAGGACATCACACAAACGATAAACACCCGGTGACACAAAGTGCCACCATGCAGATGACGATCAACCGTGTAGAGGTCCCAGAAACCCCTTTCAGCCATTAGGCCATATCTATGTCCCGGCTCTATTCAGGGCCCCAGGCAGAAGCCAGGGTGGGGTTTTAAACAAATAATTGCACCCTATGGGGGGACAGCTGTGATAGATATACGTCCCCTCGTGGGATGCAATTTTTATCTGCAGCAATGAACCTCAAGGACTCGAAATGCTGATGATGAAGAAGAAGTGTACTATTGCTTACTGAACAGTGTTGACTGCCCCTCTTTACTTCCCATCATATTTCTTAGCAACCATTTTAGACGAGGCCAAACTCAGACCACACAACATCGGTCATGAGGCCTTGAACACAAGAACTTTGGGAAAGCAAGCAAGCGTCTAATAAGCGCACCGTCTAGCCCCCCCCCCCCCCACCCCCCCCCCCCAAAAAAAAACGGACAGAAATAAATAAAAGCAAAGTAAAGTACCCTTTTCCACACTTTAGGCGTATAGGGCATATAGGGCTAGACCTATATTTTTATAGACCAATCGGCATAGGATGCGTGATTTGGTCAGTATCACGCAGGCCGCCTTTACTTTCCCGGGACCTCACCCGGTACCCACTCAAGGCTGAGTCGACCTGGGAGCCAAGGTCATTTTTAAAAATAGTCCGGCTCCGGACAGAAATAAGGAAGACGATTATTGTATCTCTGATTCTCTGAGATGAGAAAGTGAATTCTCGAGAGCTAAATAAATGTTTTCCTGATCGGAAAGAGAATCGCGGACATTTGGGCGACTGATGAACAATAATGCAGGAAGCTGCGGAGATGTGGTCTATAGTTTGTTTATTGGACGGATCAACATCATGGCACACGGGTAGTAACCCATAAGTGCTCTATTCTACTTCTATGTCAAGCGTGAGTCCGAAAATTCTCAGCGCAGTGCACGAACTCCGTTACACCGGCGAGGATCCTCAAATACTTTGGGTAGATTTTATAACTCTAAATTTTTGCCCTGGCAGCGCCGTTAAGCTACTCTCTTCGATTTCCAACCGCCAAGGTATTTTTTTTACGTGCGCAACAATACATAGGGGCGTCCGATCTTACTACCCAGAGACCAGGGGAAATTACTAGAACACGTGAAAAAAATCCCAACATTCACCGGGGCTTGAACCCAGTACCTCCAGCATGAGGCGGACACCATACCTCGAGAACACTTAACCCCTTGGTTTATAGACGAATGATGATAATACCATGGACAGGTACAAAAGACTTATCTAGATGTCTTAGAAGAAACTGACTCACGAAGAGAACTGATTGCCTACAACAGAAAGAGACAACTTTCATTATTTCGTCATGTGATGAGAAGGAGAAAACTGGAGTCCATCGTGACAGTAGGAAAGGTGAAAGGGAGAAGAGGCAGAGGGAGACCGAAAGAAAAGAAACAGGGCAGACATCATGACATGGAGGATCTTTTGTATCAGAGTTGACTGAAGGTACGAGAGACAGAAGATTGTAGATATACATGACTACCAACGCCACACGGCATGGACTTTAGGAAGAAGACGAATGACGAGAAGAAGATGGTGGACGGATCAAAATGAAGATGCCTTGAACGAGAGACCCACGAATAGAACTGATAGACCACATGAAAAGGAGAGAATCCACATTCTTTGGTCATGTCATGAAAAGGAGAAATCTGGAGTACATCGTGACGGTGGCAAAGTTGGAGGGGTAAAAGAGACAAGAGGCACACCTTGAGAAAATTGGACAGTTTGACATCATGGTGTGGAAGAAAATATATGTCAGAACTGACTTGACAGTACACGAGCCAGAAAGTTATCAATAGACATGACCACCAACGACACACAACATGGACTATAAGAAGCAGCAGCAACAGTGAAGTGATCAGCGGTTGGTCGAGTGGTTGAGGTGTATGTCTCTCATGCAGGAGACCCAGGTTCGATCTTGGGTAATAAGTGACGATTTTTTTTCTCTCTCTCGGGGTTCAACAATAAAATCCCAAACCTGTCATTATCTTGGTACTGCGCTAACACCCTAGTTTACGACACCTCTACTTTTACACCACCCTAAAAGTTGTAATATACAGACAGAACCGAAGATAGACAGACTGACCGACAGACAAATTACCTGCAATATCCAGATATACCAAACGATCCTTCTGAATAATGGTTGTGAAAAAATTCTGCAATATTCTTCCCTTCAAATTGTTGTCTGCAAGAATCTGTGCACACCATTACGGTATCCGTAAAAATATATTACCCTTTCCCTTATATGTTACCCTTTCCCTTATATGTTACCCTTTCCCTTATGCGTCACCCTTTTCCTTATATGTTACCCTTTCCCTTATATGTTACCCTTTCCCTTATATGTTACTCTTTCCCTTATATGTTACCCTTTCCCTTATATGTTACCCTTTCCCTTATATGTTACCCTTTCCCTTATATGTTACCCTTTCCCTTATATGTTACCCTTTCACTTATATGTTACCCTTTCCCTTATATGTTACTCTTTCCCTTAGATGTTACTCTTTCACTTATATGTTACCCTTTCACTTATATGTTACCCTTTCCCTTATATGTTACTCTTTCACTTATATGTTACCCTTTCCCTTATATGTTACTCTTTCACTTATATGTTACCCTTTCACTTATATGTTACCCTTTCCCTTATATGTTACTCTTTCACTTATATGTTACCCTTTCACTTATATGTTACCCTTTCCCTTATATGTTACTCTTTCACTTATATGTTACTCTTTCCCATATATGTTACTCTTTCACTTATATGTTACCCTTTCACTTATATGTTACCCTTTCCCTTATATGTTACTCTTTCACTTATATGTTACCCTTTCCATTATATGTTACTCTTTCACTTATATGTTACCCTTTCCCTTATATGTTACTCTTTCACTTATATGTTACCCTTTCACTTATATGTTACCCTTTCCCTTATATGTTACTCTTTCACTTATATGTTACCCTTTCCCTTATATGTTACCCTTTCACTTATATGTTACCCTTTCCCTTATATGTTACTCTTTCCCTTATATGTTACTCTTTCACTTATATGTTACCCTTTCCCTTATATGTTACTCTTTCCCTTATATGTTACTCTTTCACTTATATGTTACCCTTTCCCTTATATGTTACCCTTTCCCTTATATGTTACTCTTTCCCTTATATGTTACCCTTTCCCTTATATGTTACTCTTTCACTTATATGTTACCCTTTCCCTTATATGTTACCCTTTCACTTATATGTTACCCTTTCCCTTATATGTTACTCTTTCCCTTATATGTTACTCTTTCACTTATATGTTACCCTTTCCCTTATATGTTACTCTTTCACTTATATGTTACCCTTTCCCTTATATGTTACCCTTTCCCTTATATGTTACCCTTTCCCTTATATGTTACCCTTTCCCTTATATGTTACCCTTTCCCTTATATGTTACCCTTTCACTTATATGTTACCCTTTCCCTTATATGTTACTCTTTCACTTATATGTTACCCTTTCCCTTATATGTTACCCTTTCCCTTATATGTTACCCTTTCACTTATATGTTACCCTTTCCCTTATATGTTACTCTTTCACTTATATGTTACCCTTTCCCTTATATGTTACCCTTTCCCTTATATGTTACCCTTTCCCTTATATGTTACCCTTTCCCTTATATGTTACCCTTTCCCTTATATGTTACCCTTTTACTTATATGTTACCCTTTCCCTTATATGTTACTCTTTCACTTATATGTTACCCTTTCCCTTATATGTTACCCTTTCACTTATATGTTACCCTTTCCCTTATATGTTACCCTTTCACTTATATGTTACCCTTTCCCTTATATGTTACCCTTTCCCTTATATGTTACCCTTTCCCTTATATGTTACTCTTTCCCTTATATGTTACTCTTTCCCTTATATGTTACTCTTTCCCTTATATGTTACTCTTTCCCTTATATGTTACTCTTTCCCTTATATGTTACTCTTTCCCTTATATGTTACTCTTTCCCTTATATGTTACTCTTTCCCTTATATGTTACCCTTTCACTTATATGTTACCCTTTCCCTTATATGTTACTCTTTCCCTTATATGTTACTCTTTCCCTTATATGTTACTCTTTCCCTTATATGTTACCCTTTCACTTATATGTTACCCTTTCCCTTATATGTTACTCTTTCCCTTATATGTTACTCTTTCCCTTATATGTTACTCTTTCCCTTATATGTTACCCTTTCACTTATATGTTACCCTTTCCCTTATATGTTACTCTTTCCCTTATATGTTACCCTTTCACTTATATGTTACCCTTTCACTTATATGTTACCCTTTCACTTATATGTTACTCTTTCCCTTATATGTTACTCTTTCCCTTATATGTTACTCTTTCCCTTATATGTTACTCTTTCCCTTATATGTTACTCTTTCCCTTATATGTTACTCTTTCCCTTATATGTTACTCTTTCCCTTATATGTTACCCTTTCCCTTATATGTTACCCTTTCCCTTATATGTTACCCTTTCCCTTATATGTTACCCTTTCACTTATATGTTACCCTTTCCCTTATATGTTACCCTTTCACTTATATGTTACCCTTTCACTTATATGTTACCCTTTCCCTTATATGTTACCCTTTCCCTTATATGTTACCCTTTCACTTATATGTTACCCTTTCCCTTATATGTTACTCTTTCCCTTATATGTTACTCTTTCCCTTATATGTTACTCTTTTCCTTATATGTTACCTTTTCACTTATATGTTACCCTTTCCCTTATATGTTACTCTTTCCCTTATATGTTACTCTTTCCCTTATATGTTACCCTTTCACTTATATGTTACCCTTTCACTTATATGTTACCCTTTCACTTATATGTTACCCTTTCCCTTATATGTTACTCTTTCCCTTATATGTTACTCTTTCCCTTATATGTTACTCTTTCCCTTATATGTTACTCTTTCCCTTATATGTTACTCTTTCCCTTATATGTTACTCTTTCCCTTATATGTTACTCTTTAACTTATATGTTACTCTTTCCCTTATATGTTACCCTTTCCCTTATATGTTACCCTTTCCCTTATATGTTACCCTTTCACTTATATGTTACCCTTTCCCTTATATGTTACCCTTTCACTTATATGTTACCCTTTCACTTATATGTTACCCTTTCCCTTATATGTTACCCTTTCCCTTATATGTTACCCTTTCCCTTATATGTTACCCTTTCCCTTATATGTTACTCTTTCCCTTATATGTTACTCTTTCACTTATATGTTACTCTTTCACTTATTTGTTACTCTTTCCCTTATATGTTACCCTTTCCCTTATATGTTACCCTTTCCCTTATATGTTACTCTTTCCCTTATATGTTACTCTTTCCCTTATATGTTACTCTTTCCCTTATATGTTACCCTTTCCCTTATATGTTACTATTTCCCTTATATGTTACTCTTTCCCTTATATGTTACTCTTTCCCTTATATGTTACTCTTTCCCTGCATTGAAACTTCATGTACAAAGTGAAGGACACTTTTTCACGTCTTCAAGGCTATTTAGGCATATAGGGCTAGACCTATAGTTTATAGACAATCGGCAATTGGTGGGTGATGTGGCCAGCATCACACTGACCGCCTTTACTTTTCAGGATTTTCCTGGTACCCATTAAAGGCTGAGTCGACCTGGGAGTCAAGCTCATTTTTGCAAAATGTCCAGGCCCGTTCGGATTTGGACCCACGACCTGCGAATTCGCCACTACACCGTTACGAAAGCCCCCTCAGACACAGAATGCTATAGTTTATTCCAGAAATCGTTCCAAAATTTAAAAATCTGCAACTCAGTAAACGATCAGTGTAAATTGTTAAAGTTCGGTATGCAATTTGTTAATAGTCATTTCTTTGTAAGAAATTATCTTAATGTAAACAAACAGTAAGTCATGAGTCACATGGCTAAGATTTTACTGAGAATAATTATGAGAAGAATAAGAAACAAAATTAAACCAGAAATCAGCGATGAACAATATGGATTTGTAGAAGGAAAAGGTACAAACAATGCCATATACATCCTCAGGACATTGCCAGAAAGAGCTATAGAAGTAAAGACTGATTTGTACTTATGCTTCATAGACTATACAAAAGGATTTTACTGTGTGAAGCATGAAGAAGTAATCAAACTGTTAGAAAAATTAAACATTGATGGAAAAGATCTACGAATAATAGAGAATATGTATTGGCTGCAAACAGCAGCTATAAGAATTAACAACTGTTTAGGTACATTTCAAAGCATAAAGAGGGGCGTACGACAAGGATGTGTACTATCACCTGATTTGTTTTCAATATACAGGGAATATACAATGAGATCTTTAATTGAAATGCCCGGAATTGTGGTTGGTGGGCACAATATAAATAATTTACGTTATGCTGATGACACAGTCTTGATAGCAACAAGTCAAAAAGAACTACAGGAAATGATAGACATAGTGGTGTTAGAAAGTGGAAGAATGGGCCTCAGTTTGAATAATGGGAAGACAGAAGTAATGGTGGTATCAAAGAAACGAATTGTTCCTAAATGTGTAATAAAAGTCAATGGTGTTATTTTAGGACAAGTACAGAAATGTAAGTATCTGGGAACATGGATAACATCAGATGGAAGATGCATAACTGAGATAAGAAACAGAATAGGACAGGCAAAAACTGCATTTGATAAAATGAAGAACATCCTGTGCAATATATCTTTGTCATTGAGAGTTGGAAAAAGAATTCTTGCTTGCTACATACATTCAGTTTTAACATATGGCCGTGAATCCTGGTCAATCGGTAGGCAGGTTAAACAATTTCTCGAGGCCTCAGAGATGTGGTTTTACAGAAGAGTGTTAGAATACCTTGGACAGCCAAAAAGAGCTACCAAGAGGTTTTGAAAGAGGCGGGAGCAAGAAGACAACTTTTAACAGACATCAGAAGGAGACAGTCATCGTTTTTCGCCCATGTTATGAGAAGAGGAAAAAAAAGAACAGGTTGTGACCACTGGAAAGATCTGTGGAAGGAGGGATAGAGGAAGACAACGAAAGAAGATTCTTGACAGTCTTGTTGTATGGCATGGAGGTGTGTCGGCCACGAACTGAAACATGCTGCAGGAGATCGTTGATTATGGAGAGGCATGATCGCCCACGCCAGTCGGCAAGGCACCTGATGATGATGATGAAACAAACAGCTAGTTTTAATTTTGTCTATTTTATGTTAAGGTGAAAACAGACACCGATTCAAAGCAGTCAGGTAAAAAACGGGGACTTTTCAAAACATCAGACTGCCTCCCGTAAGTAAAATAAACTAATTTTTCATTGTACATTGGATAGGCTATCAAAAAAACACACCAGGCATCACTGCACATGTGAACTAATTCTCAAACAATCTCCAAGTGTGTGTCAATTATTGTATATTATGTTTGTTTATTGGTAGTGCCTCTGGTACAATATATTTTCATTATCATATGAAAGGTATCACTGGCATGATGAGAGCTAATAGACTAAAATGGTTGGGGTATACTGAAAGAATGTCAAATGACAGAGAAGTAAAAACTGTATACAAAAGAGACATGAATAGTCGGAGACCACGAGGCAGACAAAGAAGACGATAGAGAAATAATGTCCAGACAGACCTGCAAATACTTTGTGTCACTAACTCGAAAGAGAAGGCTAACCAGAAAGATGAATGGAGGCGGGTGATATCTGCAGCAATGAACCTCAAGAGCTCGGAATGCTAAAGAAGAAGAAGAAGAAAAAGAAGAAGAAGAAGAAGAAGAAGAAGAAGAAGAAGAAGAAGAAGAAGAAGAAGAAGAAGAAGAAGAAGAAGAAGAAGAAGAAGAAGAAGAAGAAGAAGAAGAAGTAGAAGAAGAAGAAGATAAAGAAGAAGAAGAAGAAGAAGTAGAAAAAGAAGAAATATAAAAGATGTGTATATTTTTAAGTTTTCTGACATTAGCTGATGTAATTTAAAACGGTAGGGGCCTCAGGGCTTTATAAAGGTTAGGGCCTCAGTCTGGCCCTGAATCAACCATAGAAGACTTACCAAGTCAGTGACTGCATTCTCCTCGGTGAAGAAGTCGGTCAGGTAGACAACTTGTTTATCCGACAGACGCATTTCTTTCAGGTCGAGTCGTTCCACGATATCGTTGGTCTGGGGGACATTGTAGAAAGATAAGGAAACTTCCGGAACTTGCCAAAGACTTACAGAACACACAGGTCACCATCAGAGGTCTGAGTGAGGCCGTGAATTAAAGCCATAGATCGCCTAGATGAATGAACTCATTAAGGTTCGTTTTTTTCCCGTATCCTGCCATTCATCTAGCAAAATTAAAATAGTAATATTTTACTGTGAAACGAAAAAAAAATAAAGTATAAACGAACTGACCTGTTCGGTTCCAACTGAAACTGATGAACGAACGAACGAACTTTATTTTCAAAGGGTTACAAAATGGGCACGAAGGCCCGTCCTACATTCGGCCCTTCACAAACATTCGTTTTTCAGACCACCATTGCCTGTTTTCAATAATTAATGTTATGATTGCGTAAAAATATCATCATCATCATCATCATGTGCCCAGCCAACTAGCTTAGGCGCTCATGCGTCTCCACAGATCACGATCCCTGGTTGCCTTGAACAGCTCTTTTGATCATATCCCTCTATTCCATCCAGCATCATCTCTCTTGGTCTGCCTTTACTCCTATTTCATCTGATCTTTCCAGTTGTCACGATGTTCTCCAATGTCTCTCCTCTCATTATGTGATCAAAGAACAGTGTTGGTCTCTTTCTTGTTGTATATCGAGATTTACTTTCATTAGCTTCTTTCAAGCAATCGTTGTTAGTTACTCTGGCCGTTCAAGGTATTCATAACATTAGTCTCGGAAACTACATCTCAGTTGCTTCCAAATTTTTCATAATTTGTTCACTGACATTCCAAGATTCGCTGCCATACAACAAAACTGGTTCTATGTAACATTTAGGCTTCCTCTTTTTGTCATTAAATGAGAGCAGTTTATTGCAATATTTATCATTATATACACTTAATAATCTGTGGTGAAAGGTGCACCGAGTGAAGGGGATATCATAGCGAAGGAAAATGAAAATTGTTTCGCACAATTGTTTCTTCTTCGTAAAATTGAAAAGGGTGTCTTGCAGCCAGAGTAGCTAATGTTGCTTGACAAGGCTCAGACGAGAAGCTCATCCTGGATTATTTGTGCAGGATATTCGGGTGTAGGTGGTAATGAGCAGGCCAATAGATTAGCTGCTGCCACTACTTTTGGAAGGGAGGTCGGCCACGCAAGCGATGGATAGAGTGAATGTCCGAGGCCGATAATACCGGCATCTACATAACGCACGCATTAGGAATTGTACCGGATATCTCTTCAAAACAAGACCTATAGGGCGAAAACGAAAGAAAAAAAAATAGATAAAAGAAAAGGAGGGGGGGGGGGAGAGAAAAAAAGATAAAGTTTAGAAAATGGCCTTTACACCAGCAGGCAAGTGTTTACCCGCTTCGCCACCCCAGCTCCCAAACAACTTTTAAAGTTGATACCTATAGATAGTCTTTGGCCATCTTACCACGAGAGAAGCCATGATGGATTTGAACTCTGGGTCGCTCATCTTCATCATGCTCAACATCAGCTCGCAGTTGTCGATACATCGGAGCACCTTGCGGTTGACCGTCACCTGGGGGGAGGGGGGGGGGAGAGCAAAGAGTGTTGGAAGCTTCGTCATCACCACAGCAGTGGTCATCGTCATCACCATAGTCATCGTCAACATTATTATCCTTATCACCAATATCATCTTTCCTTCTTTCTTTTTTCTTTCTTTCTTTCTTTCTTTCTTTCTTTCTTTCTTTTTTTCTTTCTTTCTATCTTTCTTTCTTTTTTCTTTCTTTCTTTTCCTGCTTTCTTTCCTTCTTTTCTTTCCTTCTTTCTTTCTTTCTTTTCCTTCTTTCTTTCTTTCTTTTCCTTCTTTCTTTTTTTCTTTTCCTTCTTTCTTTCTTTTTCTTCTTTCTTTCTTTCTTTCTTTTCCTTCTTTCTTTCTTTTCCTTCTTTCTTTCTTTTCCTTCTTTCTTTCTGTCTGTCTTTCTTTCTTTTCCTTCTTTCTTTCTTTTCCTTCTTTCTTTCTTTCTTTTTTCTTTCTTTCTTTCTGTGTTTCTTTTCTTCTTTCTTTCTTGATTTTTTTCTTCCTATTCGTCTTCGTTCAGCTTCCAAATGGTGGTTGTATTTTTTACCTCCAACATTTCTGATTTTGGCAAATCTGTAATCAGTCGTCTTTTGTGTCATGCTTGTTTTGAGGCAGTGATCTATACCCCCCCCCCCTTTCCGCCCCTCCTCCTTTTTTCTCACATGTGGCCCTGAAACCCACACGAAGAAACTTACATTCAGCATTCTGCAGGCGGTGTAGTATCTTCTCTGGTTTGTACTCATCTTCGAAATCTTCTGATCCTCTTCATCTTCTTCATCTTCAAAACCGTAGCCCTCATCTGACGAGACAGGAAACATGGTGTACTACCAGGCAAGGCTTAATTAACAAGCAGAGTTGTTATTTCCAAAGGTGGATGGTGGATTACGAAGTCGTGTGTGGACTGCGTTTGATTCACGCTCAGGACTGTATAGGTTTTTTTTTAGAAGGGGGGGGGGGGGGGGGGTTAATGCATATATAAAAATATTATAATAATATATTTATATATATAAAAATAATATAATAATATAAGCAAATAAGTAAACATATTGCGGCTTCTGAGAAAGATGGGGCATGTTTTCAAAAATGACACTGGCTCATGATGACTTTCACAGATTTTCAGAGACAAATGACGTTCATAGGTCGAACCAGACTTGAATGGGTACCAGGTGAAGTCTTGGGATGCAAAGGCGACCGGAGTGATGCTGACTACATCACCCACTGCATTTTGGTCTATAAAATACAGGTCTAGATACATACATACATACATACATACATACATACATACATACATACATACATACATACACATACACACATACATACATACATACATACATACATACATACATACATACATACATACATACATACATACATACATACATACATACATACATACATACATACATACATACATACATACATACATACATACATACATACATACATACATACATACATACACACACACACACACACACACATACATACATACATACATACATACATACATACATACATACATACATACATACATACATACATACATACATACATACATACATACATACATACATACATACATACATACATACATACATACATACATACATACATACATACATACATGCGTACACACACATACATACATACATACATACATACATACATACATACATACATACATACATACATACATACATACATACATACATACATACATACATACATACATACATACACACATACATACACACATACATACCGAAGTCCTGTATTCCTCTTACCATCTTCATCTTCCTCCTCACGTATGACTCCAATAGAGCTCTCGTGGGATTCCAGCATTGTACGGACACTCCTGGCTTCCTCGTCCACTTCGCGTGCCTGCCCCACGTCCGTGATGCCGCTAGCAATGGAGCTTTTGGTGGCGCTTATTTTCGGCAGCTTAAAACTGCGTCATAGTCGTAGTAAAAAAATAAAAAAACACGAAACAATACAAGTTATGGGTTAGTTCGACGTTAGTCTCCCCAGACCTGACTCATATACACACTAGCTCACTTCTGATTGGTAGTGGCTGAACCCTGTGACCTTCGCACACGGTTAAGGCGATGTTCCACAGTGCCGTTGAAATCGCTTGTTGTATATTACCACTCCAAAAATGGATAAACTGGGTCTAACGCTACTCCCCTAGAGAGTGTTGCAGCTTATGCAACAGGCATCCTCTTTCTCGGAATAAAAACGTAAATGCAAGACATCACAGAAACCAAACAACAGAGCGGGAAACACACCCGTAACCTTCAGGAAAGTCGACCAGCCCAACAAACTTGTTAATAAAAAGTGACCTACTTTAATTGGGGGACTAACGTCGAACTAACCCAAGTTATGTAGCAACGGGTAACATTGAATCAATCAGTCAGTAGGTCGTTTACAGTACGTTGCTCGCTTCACCACACGCCTGAAAGTCTCACATTCTCTAGCCAATTCTCTTGCCCTGTCTGCTTTCATAGAACAATGCATCTTTAATGTCCTCTATCCACGCCGCGCAGGTCAGCCTCTGCCTCGTTTCTTGGAAACTGCACCCTCCATCACCGTTCTCTCCAGACTAGCCTGGCGCTTGACATGTCCAAAATACCCCAGCTCTTGAGAAAGGATGGTGTTTATGAGTTCTCCCTTATCTTCAGCTCACGCCGGATTTCGATGTTGATTTTGTTTTAATAATTTTGGTCCACGGTGTTGTGAGAGCGTGTTTTGTAGAATGTTTAGTTGAAGAGCTCCGATTGTGTTCTCTTCCCCCCTCGTTTGCGTAGATGATCTTCCTGGTCAGGGACCCCCGCTTCAGATCTTTAGGACTCGTTTTTGGCTTCCGTTTAGAGCGGTGGTCTCCAACCCTTTTGCAGAGTATGGCAAGGCCCATCAAGCCCCCTTGACTTTATTGTAAGACTCCCACGCCCCCGTGAGTGTATGACAACACCCCCACTCCCCACCCTTGAGTACATGGTAAGGAACCCACGCTTTCTTGAGTTTATTGCAGACCCCCATGACCCGTGAGTTTATTGCAAGACCCCCACGCCCCCGTGAGTATATAGCTCACCCCACGCCTCCCCCATTGAGTTCATGGTAACGCCCTCACGCCTCCTTGAGTTTATTGCAAGACTTCCACGCTCCCCCTTCTGTGAGTATATGGCAAGACCCCCACGCCCACTTTTAAGTACATGTTAAGGCACCACGCCCCTCTTCCGCTTGAGTACATGGTAACGCCCCCACGCCCCTTGAATACATAGCAAGACCCCATGCCCCAGTGAGCATATGGCTGACCCCACCCCCCTCCCCTTCGAATACATGGTAATTTTTTTTAATAAGGGGACTTGAATCCCCTCTCAAGAGAAACTTATGCCTCCGCGCTCCCTTGAGTTTATTGCAAAACTTCCACGCCCCCCCCCTCCCGTAAGTATATGGCAAGACCCCCACACCCCCTTTTGAGTACATGTTAAGGGCCCCCACACCCCCCTCCTCCGCTTGAGTACATGGTAACGCTCCCACGACCATTGAATATATAGCAAGACCCCCACTTAAAGATTTATAAAACAATTCCTTTAAATTCCAAGTTCATTAGTTTAAACTTAGAATTATTTCGAATGGAAACTGCGCAAAAATGTCTGGCACTAAAGGAAACAGAATGTTTGTATGGCGTATTTTGTATGTACGAGAAGTCATAATAAAACACTGCACACGGAAAGATGTATTGACAGAGATGTCATCACCGACACACGGACCAGGTTTTCGGATAATAAACAATTATACAGAAAGAAAATGAATTAGGGAGAAAGAAAGATTTTAAATTAGAGAGAAAGAGGTGAAGTTAGATACATACATTAGAGTTAGAGGGAGATTTAGAGTTAGAGATTTAGAGTTAGAGGGAGATTTAGAGTTAGAGGGAGATTTAGAGTTAGAAAGAATAAATTAAAGTTAGAAAAAGTTATTGTGAGAGAAAGAGAGGGACAGAGAGAGAGAGAGAGAGAGAGAGAGAGAGAGAGAGAGAGAGAGAGATTTACAGAACGAGTAATAGTTAGAGAGTAGGGAGAAAGAGAGTTACATAGAGAGTTGCAGAGAGAGTTAAAGAGAGAGTTGAAGTTAGAAGGTCTTAAGTGCAGAGAAAGAGTTAAAGACAGAGTTAAGTTAAAGTAAAAGAGTTAAAGAGAGGGTTAAAGTGAGAGTTGAAGAGAGATTTAAAGAGAGGGTTAAAGTGAGAAAAAAAAAGAAAGCGTTAAAGTGAGAGAGTTGAAGAGAGAGAGTAAAAAAAAAGAGTTAAAGAAAGAGAGTTTAAGTGAGAGAGTTAAAGAGAGTTAAGTTAAAGTGACAGAATTACAAAGAGCGAGAGTGTTAAGTGCAGAGAGAGGGAGTTAAACAGAGTGAGATAGGAAGAGAGAGAGAGAGAGAGAGAGAGAGAGAGAGAGAGAGAGAGAGAGAGAGAGAGAGAGAGAGAGAGAAATGGGAAAAAAAAGGGGGGGGGGGAGTTACATTACCAAACCTAAAGGTTCTATTGACAGTAAGCACGACAGTTGGACCACTTACGTCTTTTTGCTGAAATGAGAAAACAGACGAGTATTTTATTAGCAAGTCATCTGATTCTACAAACAGGCAGGTTGACAATTTTTTTTACACGGTGAACAAAGGAACGTCTGCAGCCGGTTTGATAACCGGAAGTAAACCAACGCAGAACACACTCTGAAGATACCAGCTCAAAGGAGGGAAATGAAAAAAAAAAAAGAACTGCCCAAATACAGCAAAACGTTTCGACCCAGGCTTTCATCAGCGGAAAGGAAACCACATTAAATCGGAAGAAGAAGAGACAAGCTGCAGGAAAACATGAGAAAGTAGTGGATACAGGACAGGAGAAAGTGGAAGATGCTGAAGGAGATAAAGTGTAAGCGAATGAAGACCGGAGAAAGTGGGCAAATGTAAAAGATGAGAAAGCTGTGTGTCTTGAAAAAAAAAATATGGAAGGTGACGGACAGGAGAAAGAAAAGGAGGGATGAAAAGTGAAGATGTATGGGGAGTCAGATGAAGAATGTTTCTCTTCTGTCTGTCAGTATGACCCCTTTCTTTGCCCTTCCAGTGCATCCTTTGAGAAAGCCCCAAAATTCTAGAGGTAAAAACTGACTTTCGCCATGTGGGTTCCTGGACCCATTTAGCGAAGGGGGTAAGATAGAATAAACTCACTGCCCATCCCCTAACAAGCCTGTTGTATAAGGCGACGAATAAGGTCTACCTTATGCAGTTACTTTGCGTGTGTGATCCCGAAAATGTTTGCTGCGACTTAAGACTTGAGTTTTTTTTTTTTTTTTTGGTTCTTTAAATAAAACTGTTTTATTGGGACAGTGATGCATATTTAGTGTGATCTTCACTGACACAGAAGCGAAGCAGTTTTGGGGTCCGCTGCCTGCAATGAAGCTAGGATCTCGACTAACGACCAACTAACGAATACCGACCAATTTGGGGTGATCTTTTAAGGTCGAAGTGCATCTATCTGAGAGGCAAGAAACCAACAGTTCGCATTAAAAAAGGCCAGAAATGCACGCAAAAAAAAACTTAAATTCTGGACAAGGCCAAAGTTCAGAAGTGGACGAACAACCAGAAACTTCTACCAGAGTTTAAAGCTGGTAAACGCGAAAAAGAGGAAAAAGAAAAACTTACTCGACCCTGGAAAGTGTTTTGGCGTGGTAAGCACTCCACTTCAGCAGGTTGTGTTGCCGCTGGAACGCCTCTTTTTTGGCCCATTCTCCAGGATTGACCGGGATCCTGACCTTGAACCTTGGCGGGTCCTTGAAGAACAAGGTTAAAGGTTAGTTGCGTATCCTTTACAGGACGTTGCAGAACCAACCCCAACAGCGCCTGGCTGTTGTGTGGTTCTTCTAGGCAAATTTGCGTCCAGTAGTTTGAAATTGCTTACTGGACGGTCGGCTTTCTTATTACCACTGTCGAAACCAACGCAAGGCGCATGGCTCGCAGCTGGGATCGAAGCCGTTAAGAACAAGACGAGACAAAACAATTTTTTTACAGTCTTCATCCAGTTAATCTTATCTTAAAACATCTGAAAATCATGAATTGGCTAATAAACAGCATCATGTCTCTGAAGCTGAAATATTTTGATCATATCAAGCGTCACGATTGATTTGGAAAAAATAAAAGCAGTAGGCATGGTACCAGGAAGGAGGGGCAGGGACCGACTAACACGAAGATGGGTACATGCTAAAAGTGACTCCTTGATTATGAAAGTACATGGGGCGGGAGAGCCGGCGAGAGACCGAGTTCCTTTTAGACAGACTGTGATGAGAGCGACGTTCTGCACAGGACCTGCTACATGAGGATGATGATCCGATTGGTCACAATCTAAGTCCAGCATTTAGTGGCTGTCGTAATGTTCTAGCGTTCATAAACAGCATCTTGCCCCTTAAACTGAGGTGTTTCGGCCATGTTTAACGTCAGAGTGACCTGGAGAGAGCGGTGATTTGGGGGAAGGGTAGGTGGTGGGGTGGGTGGGGGGGGGATGTTTACAGTCTCCCTAAAACGAGACAGAGGTCGACTTCCTTTAAAGTGAATAAATAACAAAAAAAAAATATATATATATATATATGAAGGGCACTAGCTATGAAAGCACACAGGGCTGGAGAACTAGCTAGAGAACGAGACACTTTCAGGTGTCATGTGACGAGAGCGACGTTTTGTCAATGACCTGCTGATTGCTGTCGACCTTGATTATTTTGGCATTGTCAGAACCGAACAACGCACACTGCGTTTCTTGGTGGTTCAAAAGATAAGATGATAGACAGAGGCGCCGCCACAAAGACATATTTAGGGTGCACCGCCTCGAGGGGCTTAAGCCTGATTTAAATGTGCAATAATAATAATATCACTAGTAATAATTTTCATTATAAAGAAGCATTCTCCACGTTTTCAGATGTATTGGGCATCTAGTGCTAGAGCTATATCTTCTAGACCAAGCGACACTCAGTAAGAAAGTCAGCATCACCTTTCATTGTTGTACTTATCATTATCTACTAAATGATAAATCGAAACAAGAATAATATATTTGAAAAAGCACTTAAAAAACAATGCTTTTACATGGTTAAAGGAGTTGGTGCCCCATTGCAAAGGTTCTTGTGTAGGTGACGGAGAGCAAGCGGTTTATTATTATTTTGTAGTTGCTCACGATGTAGCAGATCCTTCGTAGAACGTCGCTCTTATCGCGATGGGAGGAAAGAGAGTGAGAGGAAAAGACGGAAGGAGGGAGAGGGACGAGATAGAAACATATATATCTTCTTCTTCTTCTTCTTCTTCTTCTTCATCTTTTTGATCTTGTTCTTCTTGTTCTTCTTTTCCTTCTTGTTCTTGTTCTTCTTCCTCTTCTTCTTCTTCTTCTTCATCTTTTTGATCTTGTTCTTCTTTTTCTTCTTTCTCTTCTTGTTCTTGTTCTTGTTCTTCTTCCTCCTCTTCTTCTTCGGTTTATTCATCTTCTGCATTTGCACCAGAAACGAATGGCAGTACACGAGAGAGAATTGTGTGTGGACAGACAAGACGACGAGTGACATACAACATGGACTGCAAGAAGAACAAGGTGACGAACGATATACAACATGGACTGCAAGAAGAACAAGGTGACGAACAATATACAACATGGACTGCAAGAAGAACAATGTGACGAACAATATACAACATGGACTGCAAGAAGAACAATGTGACGAACGATATACTACATGAACTGTAAGAAGAACAGGGTGACGAACGATATACCACATGGACTGTAAGAAGAACAAGGTGACGAACTATATACCACATGGACTGCAAGAAGAACAAGGTGACGAACGATATACTACATGGACTGTAAGAAGAACAAGGTGACGAACGATATACTACATGGACTGCAAGAAGAACAAGGTGACGAACTATATACCACATGGACTGTAAGAAGAACAAGGTGACGAACTATATACCACATGGACTGTAAGAAGAACAAGGTGACGAACTATATACCACATGGACTGTAAGAAGAACAAGGTGACGAACGATATACCACATGGACTGTAAGAAGAACAAGGTGACGAACTATATACCACATGGACTGCAAGAAGAACAAGGTGACGAACGATATACTACATGGACTGTAAGAAGAACAAGGTGACGAACGATATACTACATGGACTGCAAGAAGAACAAGGTGATGAACGATATACCACATGGACTGTAAGAAGAACAAGGTGACGAACTATATACCACATGGACTGTAAGAAGAACAAGGTGACGAACGATATACCACATGGACTGTAAGAAGAACAAGGTGACGAACGATATACCACATGGACTGTAAGAAGAACAAGGTGACGAACGATATACCACATGGACTGCAAGAAGAACAAGGTGACGAACGATATACTACATGGACTGTAAGAAGAACAAGGTGACGAACGATATACAACATGAACTGTAAGAAGAACAAGGTGATGAACGATATACCACATGGACTGTGAGAAGAACAAGGTGATGAACGATATACAACATGGACTGTAAGAGGAACAAGGTGATGAACAATATACCACATGGACTGTAAGAAGAACAAGGTGATGAACGATATACCACATGGACTGTAAGAGGAACAAGGTGATGAACAATATACTACATTGACTGTAAGAGAAACAAGGTGATGAACAATATACCACATGGACTGTAAGAAGAACAAGGTGACGAACAATATACTACATGGACTGTAAGAGGAACAAGACATTCGATGTTTGTGCATGTTGATTATTTGTAAATATTGTAACCACTAAAGATGCAAACAGCGGTGAATGGAGAGTGAGAAGCAACAACGAAATTCATAATCTATTTAAATCACCACTGATCACTGGCATCATGAGAGCTAATAGACTGAAATAGTTGGGGTATATTGAAAGAATGTCAGATGATGGAGAAGTAAAAACTGTATACACAAGGGAGATGAATGGTCGTAGACAACGAGGCAGACCAAGAAGACGATGGAGAGATAAGGCCCAGATAGACCTGCAAACACTTGGTGTCACCAACTGGAAAGAGAAGGCCAACCAGGGAGATGAATGGAGGCGGGTTATATCCGCATCAGTGAACCTCAAGGGCTCGGAATGCTGAAGAAGAAGAAGAAGAAGCACCTGAATATGAACACTAAAAGAGCACAGTTCAACACAATATTCTTACCAACGCTATGCTATCAGTGTCAAGCATGGACACTGTCTTTGGACGACATAAATGAAATGTTTACGTATTATGCAAAGTGTAACGAAGAAAGATCGACGTAGGAAAGATGATCTCAGGAGGAGAGTCGGCACAGATCTTTCTTCTTCTTCTTCTTTTTCTTCTTCTTCTTTCTTTCTTTCTTTCACTTGAAATAAATTATCTGTAATGTTGTCTCTCGTATGAACTTCATTGTCTTTTGTAATTCACTTAGCGACCCGTAAAGTTTGACTTGCACCGATGTTTCTCTTGCCCAAAAGTTTTGCCTTGATATGTTGTATTTGGGACAGTCTTTGAGAATGTGATCTGTTGTCTCAGGAGCCAGTCCACACGTGCACATGGCTGATTTGCCGATTTTAAATTTTGTGTAGTTCGGTAGACAGCAGATCAAATGGTTTGGTCATGCAACATGATCAACAGGGGCACCAAAGACAGCAATGTTACACAGATACAACGGTATCAGATCCAGAGGTCGACCACGCAGAAAATGGACTGCAGAAACACTGGGGATGCTGATAAATATTATCAAGTGTATGAAGCAAACAGAATGACCTGTTTGATATATCTCTCTTCCTGTTCTCACGCTGCAAGGTATTCAGGAGTGGGGGAAAAAAAAAAGAAGAAGAAGATTTTGGTCTCAAAGAAACTTACGGGTCTGTGTGATCCTACTCCTTCGATAGTTTTAACCGTCTCTTGGGCAATAGAGAGTGGGTCAAACAGAGAAGCCATGGTTGTATACCAAGTTGAAATCAATGACAGACCATTTCATTCAAGCATTAGTTACCCGCGACATTCATGTTTGTACTTTGTGTTTTGCGCGAGTTATCTTCATAGTGCCCTTTCGTGCGCACCATCAGTGGTGCGCAAGACATGTTAAGAGTAGTGATAAGTGATTAGAGAGAATTATCATCACAGCACTCCGGATAGATCCATAGGTGCTCCGATCTCCTCCTCAAAAGCTCCACAAGTGTAAAACGACTGACGACGCCTGTTCTGTGTTGGTTAATAAAACGTTTTGTCCCCTTGGTGGAATGTTCATCTCTTGCAACTCCAGGCGGCACCCCCATGTCCATCAGTCTAGACAGGGATATCGAGTACATGTTTAGATAGTGTGAGAAATGAAGAGATTAGAAGAACTATTTTCCTCTATTATCACTTCTGGTGTCAAGGTAGATAGAGGTTCGGCGCATCGCACCAAAATCACCCCATCACGTCGGGCGTGGGATTTGTGCCGGATAGTACCAGGGCATTCTTGTTAGGTTTCCAAAGCACCGGAGCAATGAAAGTCATAAAACGAATTAGTTTGACGTTAGGAGTCAGTATTTTTGTTGACATGTTATTATAAAAGAATTGACTTTAGAGCTTGGTAACAACTGATAGTATTGATGAAAAGAGTTGTGGATTTCAGGCTGCATGATAGACATGGCCAATGGAGATACCCTTTTTTTTTGGGTTGGGGAGGGGGGGGGGAGGGGTGGGTAGAGGGGTTAGGGAAGGGCTCCTAGTTCGTCATCTTCTTAGCACACTTGTTGCCAGTCGAGGCGCACACGTCATTTGGAGAGGACAGGTTCGATTGTGGGCACGGTGACTATCGCTTTGGATTTTATGCTGTCTGGTGTGTCTTTCTATCTTTCTTTTTCTTTCTATGAGTGCCCATCAATACATTGCCTGTTTGTTTATTATGTATACTGATATACTGAGAGCCAAAGAGAAGCGAAGAGATAAATACCCATGATGGCGTGGCCGCATGAATAGGACGAGACAAGAACATTGACCTGATCAGTGATTCTAGGGATGATGCCTATGCTTACGGGTACGGCACAAGGGGACTTTGAACAATCATCATCATGTGCCGTTAAACGTAGGCTGTCATGCTTCTCCACCTTAAACGAAAATTAGTATCAACGATCAGGTCTGATATGAGCTCAAGAGGACACTCAAGAAAATGAGCTTTTTTCTTTCGACGTAACCGAGTCGAGTTGATTCAAGAACCGACACCTCAGCACTCCAGGCATTCCATAAGCGCTCCGTACCCATCTTCAGCAGCTAGTGAAGAGTTCTGATACTAATAGTGCCAGTAGCATTGTGATTAAACGTCCGTCTTGCTTTTTCTCCAAGTCTCGAGCATCTGCCAGAACCTCTCGTCACTCAGCGTTGCATCAATCTCACCAGACTATAGGTGATCCATCTGCTCTTCCGAACTGTACATGCTCTCCCACAGGACACTAACCACGTCTGCCTTATCATGCATCAGTATTCAACCAAGTTGTGCAGAGCCAGCAAGTCTGTCCGCATGTTCATTTCCAAACTTTCGATGTAACTTTGACTGAAAAGCAACATCAAAAATTTTGAACATATTTAACCCTGCAGAAAAACAGCTTCACTTTTAGAAGAACTTTTTCTGTAATCTTTCAGGCGTATTGGGCATAGAGGGCACATATCTTTTATAGACCAGTCGGCACTCGGTGGGTGACGGGATCAACATCACCCCGGTCGCCGGCCGCCTTTACTTCCCAGATTCTACCTGGTACCCATTTACGGCTGGGTCAAGCTCGGAGCCAAGATCGTTTTGGTGGAAAACAGAATCCAACTCCAACAGGATCTGAACCTACGACTTTCAGATCTGCAAGAAAGTGTCTAGCCGCTGCACCACGGAGACTCCCAACCTCGGTTACAATTGTACTCCATATTTTATTTGCGCTAAGTTCATAAGCTTAAATGGTCTACTATGGCTTACTGTTCCTAGCTGTGTACTTTGGTTACTCTGATTTGTCTGGGTCCTCCATTGTTGTCCTGTGGTTCAGATGAGGGTTTTGCTTGTGTCTTTTGTCCGACCCTCTGGGTGTAATTGTGGCTGTAATCCTTAGATCTCGTCTGTTGTTTTTCCCTCCAGGTTCGAGGTGGATTTAGACTTGATAGGGAGTTCTATCCCAATATCTTCCCCCAAACAGACAGTCGAATATTTTAGGAAGTGGTAGATAGGCTGCATACAGTCGTGGGACATAGGCGGCTCTCTCTCTCTCTCTCTCTGGTGGGACGTAAGTGGGTTGGGGTTAGGTCCAGTTGTTGATGTTTTAGGGTCGTTAAAAGCATCAGAAAGCCGAGAAACCCGCTCTTACCACCCTCTAAAATATTTATCTGTCCTGTGACTTCGTATTGAGAGGGAGCTATTGGAAAGCACCTGATAGGAAGGAGAATGTTGTGGACTCACGCTGAGTCGAGGTGAGTTGTGCTTTTTCATGTGACACCGCCTTGGTAAAATATTATAGTATAGTGTATAAGTGGAGCTTTAGACGGACAATCGTCCTGTATCACCAGTTCATGCGCATCGTCATGTTGTGTTGCGTCTAAATAAACATGCTGAAGCACTAGTCAGGAAATGACTGCACGTTTTGTTGATGTTGTCGGCTCGCAGTGTTAGTAATATGTTATGACTCTAAATGTGTTAACTTTGTACTTCCATCAAATTTCACCACAGACACTTCGCTACAGTTTGGAGACAATCAGACACCTTTTAGATACTTGCTAAGGAAGCTATGCCTCTGAACAATATTACAAGCGGGTGATAGATTGGCATACAAAACACTTTACAACAGGACCTTTTCCCACGCCTTTAGGCGTATTGCGAATATAGGGCTAGACCTATATTTTTATAGACTAATCGGCACTTGGTGGGTGATGTGGTTAGCATCAAGCCTGTCACCTTTACTTCCCAGGAAAGCACCTGATAATTACTCAAGACTGGGTCGACCTTGGGGTCAAGATCATTTTTGAAAAAAAAGTCCAGCTCCGTCATAATGCGAATCCACGACCTTCCGATCTGCAGGCTGGCGTCAAGCCACCAACGCCACATTGAATCTCATTATAATGTTAAAAAAGGACTTTTATAGGACCGACCCATACAAGGACTGGAGGACACTCTCCTAACCCTAACCCTAACGCTAACCCGGGCATCGAACAAGGACTGGAGGACACTATCCTAGCCCTAACCCCTTTAACCCGGGCATCGAACAAGACTGGAGGACCTAGCCCTAACCCTAACCCGGGCATCGAACAAGGACTGGAGGACACTCTCCTAGCCCTAACCCTAACGCTAACCCGGGCATGGACTGGAGGTCTAGCTAACCCGGGCATCAAACAAGGACTGGAGGACCCTCTCCTAGCCCTAACCCTAACGCTAACCCGGGCATCGAACAAGGACTGCAGGACACTCTCCTAGCCTTAACCCTAACGCTAACCCGGGCATCAAACAAGGACTGCAGGACACTCTCCTAGCCCTAACCCTAACGCTAACCCGGGCATCAAACAAGGACTGGAGGACACTATCCTAGCCCTAACCTTAACGCCAACCCGGGCATCGAACAAGGACTGGAGGACCCTCTCCTAGCCCTAACCCTAACGCTAACCTGGGCATCGAACAAGGACTGGAGGACACTATCCTAGCCCTAACCTTAACGCTAACCCGGGCATCGAACAAGGACTGGAGGACCCTCTCCTAGCCCTAACCCTAACCCGGGCATCGAACAAGGACTGGAGGACACTCTCCTAGCCCTAACCCTAACGCTAACCCGGGCATCAAACAAGGACTGGAGGACACTCTCCTAGCCCTAACCCTAACGCTAACCCGGGCATCAAACAAGGATTCGAACAAGGACTGCAGACACTCTCCTAGCCCTAACCCTAACGCTAACTGGCATCAAACAAGGCTGCAGGACACTCTCCCTAGCCCTAACCCTAACGCTAACCCGGGCATCAAACAAGGACTGGAAGACACTCTCAGCCCTAACCCTAACGCTTACCCGGGCATCGAAACAAGGACTGCAGGACACTCTCCTAGCCCTAACCCTAACGCTAACCCGGGCATCAAACAAGGACTGGAGGACACTCTCCTAGCCCTAACCCTAACGCTAACCCGGGCATCAAACAAGGACTGCAGGACACTCTCCTAGCCCTAACCCTAACGCTAACCCGGGCATCGAACAAGGACTGGAGGACCCTCTCCTAGCCCTAACCCTAACGCTAACCCGGGCATCGAACAAGGACTGCAGGACACTCTCCTAGCCCTAACCCTAACGCTAACCCGGGCATCGAACAAGGACATGAATGAGGACCAGATCTTAATGACAGACAGAACAGAACACCCCAGCAACTTTCTGTGTGGGTTCCGGGGTCCTATTGTAGGAAAAACAAGAATAGACCCACCCCCAGCGAGCTTGTTGTAGAAAGCGATTAGATGTGGGTGTTACCTTCGAAAACAGAGTGCATCTTCCTGAGAGGGGCAGAACCAACAGCCTGCATACAAATAAGACAGATCTGTGAAAGGAATGCAAAACTCATGTTCTGGAACTAAACGAAAATTTAGACGTGGACGAGCAATAAGAACTTTCCCCAAGAGGTACAGACAGTATTCGCAAAGAAGATATCTTTGTTGTTGTTGACGTTGTTGTTTTAACATTTCTTTTTAAAATAATTTGCAGACAAAGCAATCAGCAACGAACGTATTTGTTTAGCAATATCTGTATGACAGTGCAACACAATACACGAAAGATGTTGATAAAATATAATTACTAAATAATACAATTTACAAGTAAAAAATTATTATAAATAATAATTATATAAGGTTGATTACGACCTGTCCACATGAACCTATTATTTGATAAATGTGGCTGCTATCTATGCTTTATTATTCTGGAGAAAGGGGAGGGGGTGTGAGTGTCACGACCAGTTAG